AGGTATTTTGTCTCTGCAATGAGAGAAAAGTAACTAACAGAATCAGGATTCCAGAAATTCAACTCAAGAACAGAATATTAAAAGCTTTTAGATGGGCCCAGGGATTTAGCTCAGTGGTTCTGCTGCCTGCCTCCCAACCGCAAGGTCCCGAGTTCGATCCCCAATACAAAAGAAAAAAAAAACTGTTAGAGAAAAGAAACAAATCACATCTAAAGGAAAGCCCATCAGGATCACACAGACTTCTCAGCACAAACCCTCAAGGCAAGGAGAGCCTGGAGTGAAGTATTTCAAGCTCTAAAAGAAAACAACCTCCAACCCAGATTGATGTACCCTGCAAAACTATCTTTCACAATTGATGGAGAGGGCCGGGGATTTAGCTCTTTCACCGCCTGCTGTGCAAGCTCAAGGACCGGAGTTCCATCCCTGGTAACAAAAACAAAACAAAAACGGGAGGTGGGGAGAAGTGAACCAACAACAGGAAAATAACATGACAAGGATAAGTCAATACATGCCAATTAGAACCATCAATGTAAATGGTCTCAATTCACCATTCAAAAGAAACAGACTGGGAGAATGGATCAAGAAGCAAGATTCAGCAATATGCTGTATTACAAGAGACACATTTAGTAGGAGAAAGGAAAGAAGGAAAAGAAAAAAATACAAGAAAAGGAAAAAACAGAAACAAAGACTTTGTAAATAAGGACAGGTGGAGGGGTCAAAGGGAGGGGAGAGGAATGGGGAAAAATAAGAACCAAGATATACCATGTAGGGCTGGGGATTTAGCTTGGTGTTTCCACTACCTGCCTTGGAAGTGCAAGGTCCTGAGTTCAATCCCCGGTACCAAAAAAGCCCCCCAAAACAAAACAATATATATCATGTACAGGTACAAATTCCCAATGGTGAATGTCATCATATTGTATACCTAAAATGTACCAATAAACTTAAGAAAAACAAAAAACAAAGCAGCGGGGGACACATTTAACTCAAAAAGAACTCACAGTCTGAAAGTCAAAGATGGAAAACAATACTCCATGCAACAGGAACCCAGGAAAAGCAGGGGTACTTGTGCTATTTGCAGACAAAGTGGATTCAAACCAAGACTGATTAAGAGAGACAAAGAAGGTCATTTCATCCTTGTAAAAGAAACAATCCAAGAGGAAGAGATAAATCATAAATATATATGCACCAAACATCACCCCCAACTATATAAAACTATTAAAACAAAAATACTAACAGACATGAAAAAATCAAATAAGCACTAATACAATTGTAATGAGGGACCTCAATATCCCACTGTCACAAATAGATAGATCAAGTAGACAACAAAATCAACAAAGACATATCAGAATAGTGCCCCCTTTTATTTTAGAGGCTCCATTTTCTAAGGTCCCTAACAGTAGGCCTTTGGACTCTAAAGATTATTCTTTTACTTTTTCACTTCTATGTCCTGTTCCCATAGTATCTATATTCTGGGAGATTTTCTATATTTTTCTAGTCAAAGAAGAAAATACGTATTTTTTTAAAATTAGCCATAGTTTAGTTTTGAGTAGCTTTTACATTTTAGTGCATTACTCTGAGAATGCTTGTCTTCTGTTACGTTACCTCTCCCTCCCTGAGGGCTCATTATTCTGTTGGTTCGGTTTTGCTCACTCTTTCCTGCTGCCAGTTTTTCTCATGTGCTGAAGATTCCTCCTGGTACAGCAGGACAGGGAAGCCACCATTTAAAGCAGCAGGGAAATGCTGGGGAGATGGGCGGGAGGAAATGAAGGGGTCGCGAACAAGAGGGGCCCCGCTGGGTAGCAGAGGACAAGTGCGTTGGCTTAGGGTGGCCAGGTGGGATCCAGGTATTAAGCCTGCAGAAGCTTCACTTCTGGTCGAAATAACTTACTTTAGTGCATCCACGACTCAGCTTCTCCCAAACATCGATTTCTTTCCAGAGAAACTACCTGGGCTTTCACCTCGGGGAGGATGCAAGTGCCTCAGTGAGGTGTGCAGGGAAGTGAGCAGAGTGGAGACCCCAGGAGCGGCTTCCCCTTGTCAGTCGTCCCCTTCAGTTCTCCTGGGTTCCGGCCCAATGCCCTCCTCTCCTCATCTCTGTCCCTGAGCCGCCTTTGGAGCTCTGTGGGTTGGTCCAGTTTGGGGGAATGCTGGGTATTTTACACCTGTTTCTTTAGAGGCCACAATGCAGCTGAACAATGAGCTGGCAGACCTTGAGCTTTCCACCTTGTGAGCTATGCAGCCATTGCTACACGATCTAACCACTTGCTGTGATTTAAAGAACACCACTTCCTTCCCATCCCTGCTGCCTCAAAGGCCCCTCTCAAGTCCAAACATACGGTCTCTTCTGACCCCCTCGACCATTAACATCAGTCAATCTTTACACAATCCTTAATTAATTCTCCCTGGAAGGCCTGTTTCTAGCAATGCCAAGGGCACGGGTCCCTGTAGAACAAGAATGCTGCGTCCGTCTCCAAACACCTGGCCGTCCTTGGATCCCAGACGGATGGAACCAGGGCCACCGTGAGCTGATGAAAGTGTCCCCAGGATGCTTCAGGCCCCTCTTCACGTCAAAATCAAACCTCAAAGTCTCGGTCTTGCACCGTGCAGGCGCAGCGCTCCTGGCCTGGAGGCTATTCTCCTGTGGTGTATCCACCAACCCTCCACTTTCCTCCACGCCCTGACTAGGGCTAAATTCTTCTAACCACCCTCCTGCACGCTGTGCCTTGCACCGCAGTTCCCAGCTAACAGTGTATTCCAGGCTGTGGCTTCTGTCAACTCACTTCTTTTTTTTCTTCTGGTACTGGGGATCGAACTCGGGTGCTTGCAGGGCAGGCGGCAGAACCGCTGAGCTAAATCCCCGGCCCTGTCAACTCACTTCTGTCCACTTTCCAATTTCCAGGAATTTCTGGAAACTTCTTGTTCACTGGTGACCCAGCCACCTGGTTCTCTCTGGTGTTTCCATTACTTTTATATTTTTATAAACATAAAACTCTCAGAGAGACAGAAATAAAATGGTAAAATGTAGTTCACCACCTTAAACCCTGTGGCATGATATAAAAAAATAAAGATAGGCAGAAAGGAGATGAGGAAAATCATAATTTTTAAATGAACTTTTAGTAAAAACTGCAGGCTCAGTACACACACCCAAAACTCCGAAAGTTCTGAGCCATTCCCTTTTACCCATAAAGGGATCGCTTTCACCTATGCATAGACCACACCTTTCCCACTCATATGTGCCTTTCCCCACATGCAGGGGATACAGCTCTGACCCCAGGTGGCTGTCACCACGAACAGGCCACCATCCTCCCTGCAGAAAGAGCCCACCTCCCACTTCCCTCAAGGTCCACAGCTGTGCTCCCGAGACCCCTATGAAGGCCTGGCTCGAGGCCATCAGCGCCTTTCCTCTTTCTGGAGAGCCACACTCTATTGCTCTGCATGGCACTTTAAAATTCTGGCTCACAAATCCTCCTGTTCCTCTGTCTGATGCGTCCTGAAAATTCTTTCTCTGTGATGGAAATCAGTAGCCTGTCCCGGGGTGAGGATGTCTGTCAAGTTCCCCCTTTCTGCTTTGGGAACCTCCTTGGCTCCTGTCTGGTGACACTCTAACACGTAAAGGAATCCTGACGATTATGGGTTCTAACTTGTAAGCAGAGCACCTTCCATGTTCTATTACTGCATTTTCTGGGGGACAGTTCTGCTGGTTTCCTTAGAGTTCCAAGGGGATTAGGAACTATCAGAGTAAATGAAATACATTCTCTTAAATAGTATTCAAAGTTGGAAATCCCCACTCCATGACGCGAAGTTTCAGATCTTAAATTATAGATGTTTAAATCATTAAAAATTAACATGTGAAAATAATTTTAAGGTTATTCAAAAATCACATGATTACTGGTTAAACAAATGACTGTAAAATATATGGGAAAGTAGTGGGTTTCTTTTAGGACCACATCCACATGCATTATGCAGGAGCTTAAAGACAACAGGAAAACCTCACTTAGGACATCAGAGAGTTTTGCAGGTGTGGTGGTGCGTGCCTGTGATCCCAGCACTCGGGAGGCTGAGGCAGGAGGATCGTCAAGAGTTTGAGGCAGCCTGGTCTACACAGTGAGTACAAGGATGGCCTGAACTACATAGCGAGACTCTGCCTCAAAAATCAATAAGTAAATAAAAGAGTTGAAGTTCTGAGGGATGGGGGTCAGACAACTTTGTAACATGATAATCAAGATGTTTTTTGGGTATGGTTATTGAGGTATGATGACTTTTACACTGAAGACTCAGTGATTAAGTAAGAAGACTAGATGCTGAGTTAAAATAACAAAGCAAGGGGATCTGGTGGATCTGAGCCAAGATTTGAGAGCCCTATAAAATAAAACACCAGGTGTTGACTTTGAGACAGGCTTTGCTCAAATGTCAACTCCTGGTTCCAGGCAGGTGACGCCTGGTCATGCAATAGTTCAGGTAACTGTTTCGCACAGGTTTTCAAAAGACGTAAAAACACAAAAGCACAGTGACAGCAAGAAGCAGAGACATGTTGGTAACAATGTATGATTTGAACTCACTTGACACTTTTATCTGTTCAAAACAGGCAAATAAAAATGAATGCATTTGCAGAGCCATGTTGATACCACGAAGGACAGACACAATATGAGAGGTTAAAATCTAGGTTTAATTCTAAGTTTCAGAGCTTTGGTTGAAATGCCTCAAGTGAAATGAAGAAATTAATGCTCATTAATGAGTTAAACCCAGGTGGTTTCGCTTGATTCAATAAACTAAAACCAAACTTTTTATCTGATGATCCCTTCAGGACCCAAGGAGTAACATTTAAAAGTTAATGATCACCCTATAATGAACTTTAATGTGTAAACTGCTTAAATCTTAAAGATATGTTTTTTTTGAATAAATCTCATTTATCTATTTTCATTTGCTTCATTCAAACAAGATACCACTGTAAAGATTTCAGTCAGGGTTATGGCTTGTAAGCCCAAAGAAGCTCCAGTTACCTAAACGATGGAATCCAAAGGTGAATCTCCTCGTTGGCGACTTTGAAGACAGCCACAGAGCGAGCAGGGTGAGGATGATGGCGCTGAGGTCGGTCAGCATGTGCAGTGCGTCTGTCATTACCGCAAGGCTGTTGGCAATGTAGCCGCCTTAGAGCAGGGGAAAGGAACAAACCACAGGTTCATTCAAAAGACATGGAAGCGCCACACTGGAAATGCCACACCCTTGCCCACTGACCCTGATCCAAGTCTTTATCCCGTTACAGTTACATCACAGTGCTCTGCAGCTATGCAGAGCAGGTGTGTGCATGGGTGCCCTATGGTGCCATGTGGCACTGGCCCCAGGGTCTCCCTGGGTATCACGACTCTACATGCTCAAATTGCTTCTATGAATGGGCACAGTGCAGTATTGGCGTGTAGCCCACACCTCTCCTCCATACTCTAAATTCTCTCTAGATTACTTGTACAGTGTAAATGCTTTATAAATAATTATATTGTATTGCTTAGGGAATAACAAAAAATCTGTACTTACTCAGTACATATATTATTTTTATGCCAAATACTTGCAATCCACAGACGGGGAGCCCTTGTATGTGGAGGGCCCACTGGACAAATTTCTAGTGAGAATGTTCATTTTCCTCTAACAGATTCTCCCAAAAGTTAAGATCCACCCTGGGTGCAGTGGGGCACACCTATAATCACAGCTACTCAGAAGGCTGAGGCAGGTGCACTGTCCGGGGTTCCAGGCCAGCCCAGGCAGCTCAGCAAGACACTGTCTCAAAATAAAACAATTGAAGAACTGCTAAAGTGGCAGCAAACTGTAAAGAGGTGTCTCGGCACTGCAGCTTTTGCTCATCCCAGTTCTATTTCTCTTGTTCTATTAATCCTACTATTAGTGAATTAATAAGCACAGTATCTGAACTCCACAACACCTGAAGAGCAGGTGTGTTCAACTGTACAGGAGGGTTGGAACAATAAAGGAAACTGAAGAAATACACAAAAGGGGCCTGATGCATTAGTTCAGCGCAAAAGATAAACACTCATTTCCTTAGTAGGCGATGGCAATTTTGTTTCTCCAAATAGGAGTAAAAGGTGTTTTTAGAAATTACATTCTGATTGTTGGCAACGTATAGGAAAACACTCTATTAATCTGCAATGATTGTATGTTCCTGCCAGAACTCTTGTTAAAATTAATCTCCACTGTGAGGCATTAACAGGCTGAAAACTGAAGCTGATCTCTGGAGTTAAGACTAAATGAGGCCATAAAGGTGGGGACCATGGCTTTAGAAGAGCAGAAACCGGGCGTGGTGCCGCACATCTGTAATCCCATCAGTGGGGAGGCTGAGGCAGGATTGCTGCAAGTTCAGGGCCAGCCTGGACTACATAGTGAGTGCAAGGCCAGCCAGAACTACATAGAGAGATCTTGTCTCAAACAAAACAAAACAAAACAAAACAAAACAAAACAAAAAAAGAGGAGGAGACCTAAGGATGCCTGGAATGGCCTGGGACTCTGCAAAGAAAGACCTCTTGTGCATGTGTGGTGGGCACATCTGTAATCCCAGCACCTGAGAAGCTGAGGCAGGCAGATTTCCCAGGGTTCCAGGCCAGCCTGGACTGAATAGTGAGACCCTTTCTCAAAAAACAAACAAACAAAGAAACAAAGAAACAGAACGCAGACCAGGATGGGGATACACACTGGGGTCTAGGGTTACCCCCAGAAATACATCATCTCCGGAGGTGAGAATTCCATAATTATAGTGACTGGTCCCTAACCTTTCTGACTAGCTGTCCTTGCCTTGGCTTCCTTTGGGCTCCTCCACAGCCCACTCGGGATTCCCCTGACAGTGATGCCTGAGCTGGGAGAGGCCTGGAGGTCCTACCAGATGGCGCAGTCAGAGCCTCTGGGGGTTTCCACACATCCTCCACAGACCCTGATGCCTGAGACCACCTTTCTGGTGTGAAGCTGACTGCTTTCAGCCACTGTGAGTAGGCGGCCTTGGGCTATGGAGTCAGGAGCCTCCTGTCCCTGTGCTCTGCAGGCTGGCCTGAACCTGCCAGGTAGCCTGTTCTCTTTACTAGGTTTCCCCACCTGTGTGGGTTTATACTTTGTTTTCCTCTTCCAAATCCTTTCATTGGAGTTTAAAGGAGGCTTTTGGATAAAGCAAAATTAGATGCATGAGTTTAATTTGCCAACTTTCTTAGAAGACTGTATTTGGCCTTCAAGTGTTTTCACTCCGAGGGTAAATGCAGTTATAAAAACAACCAGTAACTCTGCCACTAAATCCTAAGGCTGTTTTCAGTTCTCACCCCATTAGACCACTTAACAGTTTCCCCACTCCGATGGCCAATCTTCCTGTCTCATCATCCAGGGAGGCATCTGGGAGCCTGGCAGCTGTTGAAACCCTGAGCATACAATGTTGCTTCCTATGCATCCGCGCCTCAGGCAATCACCTTACACATCAAGCACAGGAAGAGGACCAGTGACAGACCAGAACAAGCACAGCGCTGCACAGTGTGTGCTGCTGGAGGGGGGAATGCCTCGCGCCTGTTCGGGCCAGAGCAGGCCAGAGTGAGGCTGGGTCACAGCACTCAGCAGTGTGCAATTGCAAATTTATGAATCAGCCAGGGATGCAGCTCAGTGGCACTGTGCTTGCAAGTGCAAGGTCCTGAGTTTGATACCTGATCACTCCCCCACCCCACCCCAAAAAGAAAGTTTATGAAAAAAAAAGAAGGTCTATGAATTAGTTCTGGAACTTTCATTTAGTATTCTTGGACTGTGGTTAAGTGAAACCACAAAAAACAAAACCACATAAGTGAAGCTGAAGGAAAGTGGGGAACTACTGTGTGGGACACCTGCTGCCCAGGGCGATCCCGCCCCTCCTTCGGCATCACACCTCTGCCTTCGCTTTGATTCCCCTGAACCTCAAACTCACATGCGGCTCCTTCACACATGCACCCAAACGGGTGTGCCCGGGACAAGCCGGCACACGCCAGATGGTGCCACCTTCGCTTTCCACTGCCCAATACCACCTGCCCCTCGGGACTCCACAGCCACCCCTCAGCCCCAGGCCAAACCTGCAGCCAGCTGTGTTCTGTCCCCAAGTCCGACTGCCCCGTACACTGCCCTACTGTCAGCCATACCGCTTCTTGTCTGGATCATCCTGTTTTCATTCTTGCACCCTTCAATCCATTCCCCACATGACAGAGTAATCTTTTTTTCTTTTCTGAGATACTATGGGGTCTTGCTATGTAGTCTAGGCTGGCCTCCAACTCACAGCGATCCTCATGCCTCAGCCTCCCGAGTGCTGAGTGCTGAGTTTCATGTTTTCACCCCACACCCAGCTTCTGGCTTAACTGCTAGAGTAATCTTCTAAAAGAGTAAATTCCGTCATGTTCCTCTCCTGCTTAAAACCCTTCACTGGCTTCCCCTTGCATTCTTTGTATTAGTTTTTTAAAACAGGGTCTTGCTTTGTAGCTCAGGATGTCCTTCAACTCAGCGATTCTCCTGCCTCAGCCTCCTGAATGTTTGGGATTACAGGTCTGCACCACTACACCGGGCTCCTCCTGCATTCTGAATGAAAACTACATTCACACAACGTGGCCTATCCTGACCTGCCTATCTGTTCCCTCCTGCTTACTACATTCCAACCATACTGGCCTTTTTTCTAGTTGATTTTAAGAATCCACAGCTTTAGGAGCCTTTGTGCACGCTGTTTTCTTTGCTTGAATAACTCCCAGCTCCTTTATGGTTTAAATGTACCTGACTCATGTATGAACAATGTCCAACTTGTTACTCTATTATAGAACAGTACCTTATTCTTTTCCTTTATAACACTTAAAATAATCTGAACTTTAAATTTAATCACGTATTTATTCATTAAGGTCTCCTCTTCTATTAAATGATTCAGATAGCAGGAACCATGCATAGCTGTGTCCTCCACTATGTATTTGCATCATGTAGCACAGTGCCTGGCCTATCTTAGGAATTAAAAACTGCTCTGAGCCGGGCATGGTGGTGCACGCCTGTGATCCCAGCACAGGAGGCTGAGGCAGGAGGATCGCTCTGTGCTTGAGGCCAGCCCGGGGAACAGTGAGTTCAAAGGCAGCCTGAACTACATGGAGAAACCCTGTCTCAAAAACAGGAAAAAAACGTTTCTTACGTGAGTGACTCTAAGGCATCACAGAATTATATTTTTTTTGAGGCAAGGCCTTGCTACATAGTTCAGGCTGGCCTCTAACTCTTCGCGGTGCTCCAGCCTCAGCCTCTGAGTGCTGGGATGTCAAGCGTGCACCACCACGCCGGGCGATAAGAATCACCTATTTTAAATGTTGCAAAAATGAACTGGCCGTTTTATCAGAATTGTTTAAGGAGAGAAAGTTACATGACATAATAAATATAATGTGGCCGCCGAGGACTGGCTATTCGCAGAGCTGGAAGCTAGAGCCAGTTATCGGGGCGACGTTTACGGTGCATCGCTCAGGTTGGCCTGCCCTTTGGAACCCCAGCGGCCCATCCCCATCAGGCGATCGGCATCTCGCTATGCCACAAACTCCCGAAAACAAAGTTTGACCTCACGCCGCGTCGGCCAGAGGCGCGCGGGAGCGGGCGGCACGGCTCACCTACGAGTTCGCCCACCATGAAGAGCAGGTAGAGGGCGGCGGCGAGCGTCAGCCGGGTCCTCACGCGCCGCTGTCGCACGCGCTCGCGCCGCCGGCTGCAGCCGTCGCAGGGGTCGGGCCCGAGGCTCAAGCGGCCGCGCGCCAGCGGCAGCTCGGGCTCCAGCAGCGCGTCGTCGTCGGCCTGCGGCGCAGCGCGCGCGCCCAGGGCGGGCCCATCACCGGCATCGCTGTCCCCATCGGCCACCACCACGCGCAGCTTGTTGAAGCGCGGCAGCCCGCCGGGGCCCGCGTCGTCGGCGAAGTCGAAGGCGCTGGCGTCATTGAGGAACAGCGGCGCCGCGTCGCCCCTCCGCAGCAGCAGCGCCCGCAAGCGCGTCCACGCCATGGCGGACGGCTACGCGCGCGCCCGAGCCCCGGGGCCGCGCCGCGCGCCCCCGCCCATGCTGCGGACGCGGCGCGGGGTCGTAGGGTCGTGGGGCGCCGCGGGGGCCCGGAGGAGCGGATTGGCCCGTGCGCGTCGCCCGGACCGCAGGCTCGGGGGAGGCTGCCGCTCGGCCCGGGGAGCAGAGGAGCGAGAGCCTCGAGCAGGGAGTCAGCGGCAAGAGCCGGGAGCAGAGTCGCCGGCCGGCAGAGCCTGCCGCATCTGACAGGCCGCGTCACCCCTCCCCGCGCGCCGCCCCTCCCAGCCTGCTCCTGCTCCAGGCCGCGCGTGCGCAGGGGGCGGTGCTAAGGGCGGGGTGGGTACGAGGACGCGGGGCGTGGCCACCAGGGCGGGGCCTGGAGAGGCGGGGTGACCAATGGGCGGGATGGACGGCCTGGGGGCGGGCAAGGATAAAGGTACGACCCCACCCCCTCGCCCGGGCCCCACCTCTCATCCCGGTTCGTGGCCCCTGGCTCCTCACCCGGGTCCCGCCCCCGTCCCCGCCCATCGGGCGGCCCCGCCCCTGTAGGTTGCCTTGCGGGGTCTGGGGCTCCGCCCTCTGGAGGGGTGACAGCCCAGGCCGGCCCCGCGTTTTCTTTTTTTTTTTTTCCATTAAATTTATTGGTACATCTTAGGTATAAAATACAGTTACAATTATCATTGGGATCTTGTACCTTTACATGAGTATCTTGGTTCTTATTTTTTCCCCTTCCCCTGCCCTCCCTTCACCCCCTCC